ACCTAACGTTTTGGCAAGGACGGGAACCAAAAATGCAGAATGAGGAAAGTAGAAAGAAGAAGAGAAAGAAGCAGGGAGAGAGGCAGAGAATGGAATGGTGAGCAAAGAAAGTACCGTCAAAGGTGAACCGCGTACTTAGTGTGTTGTTGTTAGTTCTAGCTATATGTATAAGACACGTCTTTTGGTCGGCTTTTCTGAAGTATAATTTTGTTGAACACTTTGGCTGAAGGCCGGTAGCTTCTTATGTTGAAAGTTCTAGCCACCTTGGAAAAATCAAACCGAAGACTTGATTCTTGTCGATGCAAAGCTTCTGGCCACTCGTAACTTAATATAAGCAGACCAACAGCATTCCCTTTAGGCTTCTTATTCTACCGTTGTCAAGAGGAATTGAGGATTTGGCTTTTATTTTTTTACTGATTGATTAGCAATAATAATTGATGATTCAGTGTTTACTGATTTCCGACTCATCTAAACACAATCTTTTATTAATTCTATTTCGAAACAAGGAAAACAAAATTTAAAGCGGATTTTGGGAAAATCAATGTAAGCACATAATGGTACGAAAAGAATTAACCAATTGTGAAAATTTTCAGGCCGTGGCCGGGCCTGACTATCCTGGTTTTAATATAACAGAAGAACCAAATATTGTAAGGAACAACTCAACCAGAAGACATGCAATTAAATAAAGGTTCTTGGATTCAACAAAATGAAAGAGAAAGAAAAGGATTTAGAATCTTGTTTGGTTCATCTCCGCTAGCCAGGCTACAAAATTCTCGTAGGATAAAACAAATGTTGTAATAAAAATTACTGCCACCTGTTAAAAGATGTTGACATTACTACTACTATTCGACACTATCTGGTCGTCAAAGTCTTCTGTTTGAAAGTGAGAAATGTTGAAAACTGACAATGTGAAACCATGCGGTGAAAAACATTGACGAAGCAACAAGTCTCTGTTGGGTTTTAATGGATCATGGATGTTGAGACCTTATTGATCTGGAACATAAATTTTGTCCAAATTCAATTATGTAATTTTTATGACAAAAATCGAACTTACTTCCCCAAAAATACTCTAATAATGCTTTCCTAGAAATATTTTTATTTTTAATAAATTTTGTTTTTATTTGATTTGAGATCAAATATACTAGCACGTGACCTTTGAACAGTAATCTCACATTAAAAAATGTCTGTAAATACTGTAGAGGAAACAACTGCCAGAGTCGAGTCGAGTTAAGAAGTTCGAGTTCGAGTTCGAGCTCGACTTATAATTTGGGGTTCGATACTCGATTCGAGTTCGATCAAGTTTTATTTTTTAAGTTCGAACTCGATTCGTGATCGAATTTGAGATATTCGAGTTATTCGAGCTCGCTCGATTAATATGTAAAAATAAGTTCGATTCGTATATTCGACAAGAGTTCAATTATTCATGCTCGAATTCGAACTCGAATTTGGACTCGAAATATTTTATTAATTAAAATAATAAAAATATATTTAAATATAAAAGCTCGATTAGGCTCGCGAGTTACTCGAGTCAGATATAAGAATACTCGAATTCGACTCGATCGATAAGTCAAGTTACTCGAGCTAGAGTTTAACTCGACAATAAGAATTCGAATTTTTTTTGAATCGAACTCGAATAATTTATGAATACTAATGTATCATTTACACCCTTAATTTTAACCACATAAAAAAAACTAGGGAAAATATATGAATAAAGTAAAAAATAAAACATAAAAAGGAGGTCAGCAAAAGAATTAAGAAAACAACATTAAAAATGGGAGACGAGGACAAAACATTTATTTAGTTATCATTTATTTATTTATCATTTAATATGAAACGACTAATTTGTTTAGAAGCCCTTTTTCCAGGGTTCACATACACAAGAGTCTATAGAGAGTGGAAAATCCAAACATATTCTGGCCCTTTCCCATCGTTAGCCCCACGTGTTGTGAGGCAAAAAAACCTCCATTTAATTAAATAGTTAAATGCAGAAGAAAACTAAACAATTAATCAAAGACAATAATTTAACGAAATTTAACTTATTTAATTTATGTTTAAGGCTAAAAAAATTTATTAATTATAAAAAATTATAAATATACAAATTATATAATAAACACTCATCATTAATATTCTTAAATTTTTTTATTCTCCTCTAATATTATAAAATATTTTTAATCTACATAAATATATATAGCTTACAATATTTATGTGGATTTTTTAATCTTTCTCTAGTATATTTAAATATACATATTCATAAAAATACTTTCAATCTTTGATTTATATCCAATAAAATATTATAATTTTCTTATATCTTTGTTTTAATATCTAATTTTATGAAAATTTCATTTATTTATAAGTATATTAAATTATCTATAAGTAATTCTTTTCTTCTAAATTTTTTTTACAAATTATTTTTATCAATGAAGTAATATTTTAGCAACCTCAAATAAATTTATTATTCCCTTCGTTCTAAAATATTTGTTATGTATTGACTTTTATGGAATTAAAAAAAAAACTTTGATATTAATGGGATTAATATTAAAATTTTAAATTTTTTTATAAAATTAAAGTTTCAAAAATTTTAATGTCAAAAAATAAAAAATCATAAAAAAATAATTTTAAAATATAAAAAATAAAAAATAAAAATTTTAAATATTAAAAAAACATAATTTTGAAATATTAAAAAAACGGGGACAAAACAAAAGACTATGAAATTTAAGTGACTATTTCCATCACATTTTCCGGGTTGTATTGGAGTTGGACCTCCTCCAATAAATTTTAGCAAGTGTCACTAGATTTAGGTTTTAGATGTTACGACTATAACAGGTCTTTTTGACTTGGAGTCCTTGGACCCTTGGAGTTATATGCTCCAAATCAAACCTGGCTCTCTGGCGGATTTAAATGTTTTCCCATTCATAATTTGATTTTTGGCCCAAAAAATTCATAATTCGGTTTGGGTTTTTTTGGTTATATATGATTTTGGATTCTATTAGCAAAGCCTAGAAATAAGGTAATGAGGGGAAACAAGGAAAAATGCATTTATAGTTTGAAATTTTTTCATTTGAATTTTATTTTGATTTTAATATTTAAATTACTCCATGAAAATCTCGAACTTTTATAAAAGAAGAATTATAAATCAAGATAATGGATTTGAAATTATTTAGATATATTTCAATTTTTGTTAAAAAAACTTTTAGTTTTATTTTTAATAGAATTTAATTTTTTATTTTTTTAATCAAAATTTACTTTATGAATAGTATTTTGATGGGATTGTACCAGCTATTGATGATAAGAAAGAAGAAAGTCGAGAACCGTACCAAAAAATTCCAGCAGCAGCAGATTGAAGGGGTAGAAGGACTCCTTAATGGGGAAGATAGTGGAGGCTCGGTAAACTTCCATAGAGCCTTAAAAGAAAATGACATCTATGTTCAAATTTCAACAGTCCCATGAGAACAAATGCCCTTCCTTTCTAAGAAATAATGCTCAACCAGGGCCGGCGTTTCCTCACACCTATTAGACTGGCTGGTCCTAATACGAGAAAAATATTTGTCTTTCTGGTGAAATACATGCGAAACTTGATGTTCCCCTCTTTGTACTGTAGTTTTCTTGGAACTTAGGCTGTTTTCTTCAACAATGTTATAATTTTGCCCCCACTAACATAAATTCTGCATGGGTCCTTGGATAAAGCGTCTTTATTATGGCACCGATTGCTGCAATATATTCTGCAAGACAAGCATGATCAGAGGAACGGCAGAAGAAAATTGCTAGCCATGCCATTATCACTATTACAAGGGTTGGTTGAATGTCCATATCAGAGTAGCAGTCCATTTTCGGAGCTTTTCCACGTCTTGGCGGAAACCTGAATTAATTCCATAGACCTTTTGGCACTTGCTATATCTTAAATTATTGACTTCGCACTCTTTCTTGCTATGCTTAAGACATACTTATTAGACGAGTACATCGTCCGTTAAATGACCTTATCGGACTACTGCATGGTATTGGTATGATAATTCAAGAGTTAAATAGGATGAACCAACAATGAAATGGTAGCTTAGTGTTACTCAGTTTCAAGACTGAAGATCTCAAATTATAACTCCAATTATAGCCTTAAAAATTAAAAAAAAAAAGGGTGAATCCAGATTTTGAATTGCCTAACTGGGTTAGAAATTTAACAATTCAAATAATTTAAAGTAATCGTTTAGATCATGGCAAATCATATGTAAATGCTTGAAATTCTGGTAAGCTGCTTGCTGAAATAAATACCATATAAAAGCACATTGGTATGAGGGCATGGCATTGCCATCAGGAAGATGCATTCCTTCAGCCTTACACTGAAATAGTCAGAGGTGCCGAAGATAAAGTCACTCGCGAATCTTTACTACTCTTGCACTGCATTTGAGTAAATAAACTAAAGAACAAAAAAGTTCAATTAGTCTTCCACTTCATGGCCTAGTGGTCACAGAAGCTTTTAGGGAGATAAATGTTTGGTTTCGAACCAAGCTTCCTCCCTCCCCCTTGTAACAGGGCTTTAGCCCTCCTTGAAACGAAATAAAAAAAAAGTTAAATTAGGATTTTGATCGGGAAAGGTGTAACGTATGGAAATCAGGACAATATATTGGAAAACCAATACTGTTACTTGCTAATGCAAAATTTACAAGCGAGACTACGACTCTGTTTACTACAACAGAGTTTAATTTGATACTCCACCATTGCAATAATGTCCCTCCGAAATCTATCAGCCCTTCTTCCCTTATCGCGTGGAGGAAAAATCTGTGCTACGAATTACTAAAAAAACATTTTAAGCAAAAGTTTCATCTTATGATTATGGGTTCTCTGAATAAAAGTTATTATGGATTTGACATAGCGCAAAATAGATGTCAGTTTTTCACAGCGGAGAGGCGATAAGGTTCTGGTGAATGGTCCAATCTAAGTCGTTGGAATCAGTAATCATTTTTATTATGTAGTAAACCCTCAAAAAAACACGAACAGGTGAAACTGATTATTATCTGGCATGTATTAGATTAATTTTTAGATCCTGTCAAAAGTGTCATATTGGATAAGTTGTCCAACTGATGAGCGTTCTGTCATTAATGCAATCGTGTAAGGATGATCAGCTAGTGGAGGCATCTTTTATTTGCCTAAAACCAACAGAATGCTAGCCTCGAATACAACTTAGCTCGAACGCAACCCATTTCTTTTGGCATAATTCAATTTGTTCCAAAAGAACCAGGATAAAACTTTTACAAGGAAAGCAAAGGGTGGAAAGAGAAGCAGCAAAAAAAAGCATATAGGTGAAACAGAAGCCAGAAACTAGAAAATACAATAAAGGAGATATCTAAAATTCTTTTCACTCAATTCCTGCAATTGTTGCTAGAGCCTCCTCCTCTGGTTCCAGTTAGCTCTCCTCCCATGCTTTCTGACTTCAAGAACCAGCCAAGGTAGAAGCCTAATAAGAGCACGATCAATGCGCTTAAAATACCATATCCTCCATCTCTTCCAAAAGATTAATGGTGTAATGACAATTCCAAACCCAAAGAAAAAACCTGTCTCAGCAGCTATAACATTCCAGTTGATGTGGCTCCCAGTCCCACATTCGGAAGAGTTGTCTTTAGTAGCTGGTGGCAATTGGCATTCTGTGTTTAAAGGAGGTCCACATAATCCAGCATTGTTTTCAAAAGAAGCTTCTGAAAATGATTGAAGCTGGGTACTCGTTGGGATCATTCCCACTAGCTTATTGTTTGAGACGTTTAGAAATGCAAGGAAATTAAGGTTTACCAGCTGGAGAGGGATCTCACCATGAAAGTTGTTACTTGAGAGGTCCAAGGACTCAAGTTGTCTCAGGTTTCCTAAAAATGATGGGATTGACCCTGTGAAAGCATTATGAGAAAGGTTAAGGACATAAAGTGCTTTGAATGTTCCGATCACTTCTGGAATTGGCCCCTGAAATTTGTTGCATGAAATGTCAATGGAGGTGAACACTGTTAGGATCTTCAGCAGCTCCAACTCTAAGCCTTTGATGGTAACTGTTATTGCATCCTGATAGTAATATGGATTGAGTTGCAGGACTTCAAAGTAGATATGTTTGAGCTGTGATTGCGCTTCATCTTCGACAGCCTGCATGGCCTTCCAGGTCAACAAGAATTCTTGATGCAATCTACCACTAAAACTGTTGGAAGCTAAGTCAATAATCTGAAGCATAGGCCAGGGGCTCTTCTCAGGACAATGAATGTTCCCATTAAATTTATTGGCTCGTAAAACAACGACACGCAACCTGGATATATTCTTCAAATGACATGGGAACGTATCATTGATCTGATTGTCTCCAAGGTCTAAAACCTCCAGCATTTTGCAATTGGCCAAGGATTTTGGAACCTTTCCTTGCAGTAAGTTTCGATTTAGATCTAGAGTTTGTAACCCACAGTCTTGCGGAAATGTATCAGAAATGACACCACTGAGATTGTTTCTCCTTAGATTCAGCACCCCAAGAGACATACTGAAATGTGTCAGGCATTCAGGAATTCCACCACTCAGGGAATTATTAGACAGATCAAGTACTTGAAGATATGTACTGTTGCATATTGAACTGGGGATACTCCCTTGAAAATTATTACTCGAGAGAGAGAAGAAATAAGCGAAATTTAGGTAGTCTCCAATCTCAGCTGGTAAATCAGAGCTGAAATTGTTGTTTGAGTAATCCAGATAGGTGGCATCTTGCGGAAAAAATGGAATTTTCCCTTGCAACTGGTTGCCATGAAGGTCAAGAACAGTAAGAGTAGAAGTTATATTCTGCAAAGGTCCTTCGAATTCTACAAGAAAGTTCTGAGCAAGATTTAGGTGATGAAGACCTCTGGCTTCCCAAATCCATTTGGGTATTTCTCCATGGATATTGTTGTTTGAAAGGTCTAGATAGACTAATCTATACTGATTTTTCAAGAAATCAGGGAATATCATCAAATTGCAAGAAGCCAAATTCAATTTGGTAACGTTGGGGAAGGAAGGCAAGGAAGGATTAGTAGCATTGGCATTAATAGACAACTGGTTATGGGAGAGATCAAGGCTGAAAATATTTCTCAGGTTCTGAATGGCACTCAGCGGTATAATGCCACTGAAGTTGTTTGAAGCAAGTGACAGTATCTTGAGACCTTGAAGTTCAAATACAGACCCCGGAAGTGGCCCTTGTAACTTATTGCTACTAAGATCAAGAGTATCTAGTAAAGAGGCCTCACCATGGAGGTCACCAAGCCGGAGGTGACCACTGAATTGATTTTGTGAAAGAAGAATTTTCTGCAGTGAAGGAATGCGGAATTCCATAGACTTTGGTCACTGACTATATGCCTAAATTATTGACTTTGCTCTCTTTCTTGCTATGCTTAAGACTTTACTTATTAGAGGGATAAATCCTCCGTTAAATGACCACATCGGACTACTGCATGGTATTGGTATGATAATTCAAGAGTTAAATAGGATGAACCGCCATTGAAATGTTAGCTCAGTGGTGCTAGGTTTAAAGACTGAAGATCTCTGATTCAAACCCTAATTATAGCCTAAAAAATTGAAAAAAAGACCAATTTAGATTTTGATTGGCCTGATCTAGGTTAGAAATGTTAACAATATCAAATAATTCAAGAAATCGTTTAGATCATGGCAAATCATATGCATAATGCTTGAAATTCTGGTAAGTTAGCCTGCTGGAATAAAATCCATATAAAAGCACATTGCGTCTGAGGGCATGGCATTTCATCAGTAAGATGCCATTCATTTAGGTCTTTAGCACTGAACAGGCAGAGGCGCCTAAAACTAAGTCTTACTCAGGAAGCCTTACCACTCCTTCACTGCATTGCTGTAGATGAACTAATTAAGGAACCAAAAAGTTAAATTAGGATTGATCATGAAAGGTGTAATCTGATAGAACAAAATTATAAATCTAGAATTACTGTTTCTGGTAAATTTAAAATTTCGAGAAAAAATTTCAAGGTGTATAATGGTGTCATTTTTTGAATGTTTTATTCGCCTTCATTGTATTATTTACATAATAAGTTTGCAAAGGAGTTGTAGGCAATAAACTTTGAAGATACAATGAAGTTTAATGACTAATTGTATTTTATATTGACGAAATCAATCTACTGAGTATATATCGACTTATTACAAGATCAACAAACTTTTATGAAGTTTTCTATAGCAAAACTTTATAACAAAAAATCTAAAGTTTATTGAAAAAAGGAGAGTTTTGAGAATTGTTTTTGTATTTTCTCATAAAACTAAAGGAGCTTATATAACAAATTAAATATATATTTATTTTACAAATATAATTGTCTATTTTGAATAAACAAATTAACAGCTAAAAATTATTTATTTTAAATAGATTTATCTGTTTATTTTGTATAAATTATTTGTTTTTATTTGTCTGTCTATTTTGGATAGAGTTAATTGTTTATCTATTTTGGACAGACTTAATTAATTAAACAATTAATTAATAAAAAATTATTATTTTATTTATTATGCCAAGTACTAAATGTCAAATGGCATTAATTAAATACTAATATTAATTATTTAATTAATATAAGACCTGCCAAGCTTGAAAATTCAAGCTCATGGTCCATTACCAAATTAAATCCATTACCTATGGACTTCTACTCCTCTTAATTTAAACGATTATTTTATTTATTTATTTTTCAATATTCTCATATTTTATTTTGAAAATTTCTAATGTATCATGTGGAAATCAGGACTATATATTGGAAAAGCTATACTATTAATTGCTAATGCAAAGTTTACAAGCGAGACTGTTACTTGCATTGTTTACGACAGTATAATTTACTACTCCACCATTACAATAACTTCCCTTCTGAAATCTATCGGCCCTTCTTCCCTTATCATGTGGAGGAAAAATCTGTCTTACGAATTACTAGTAAAACTTTTTAAGCAAAAGCTTCATCTTATGATTATGGGTGCTCTGAATACAAGTTATTTCAGATTTGACATAACGCAAAATAGATGACAAATTTTCACAATGGAGAGGCGATCGATAAGGTTTAGGTGAATCATCCAATCTAAGTGGTTGGAGTCTGTATCATTTTTATTATGTAGCAAACCTCCAAACAAGATAAGATCAGGTGAAACTAAATTATTATCAGGCATGTATTAGATTAACTTTTAGCTTCAGTCACTAGTGTCATTCTGGATAAGTTGTCCAAGTGATGAGCGTTCTGCCATTAATGCAATCGTGCAAGTGATCAGCTAGATAAGTGAAGCTATTTTGTATTTGCTAAAACCGAAAGAATGCTAGCTCCGAACAAGTAGCTGGAACGCGACCTTTTTTTTTTTTTGGGAATAAGTCGATTTGTTTCAAAAGAACCAGGATAAACCTTTTACAAGGAAAGCAAAGGGTGGAAAGAGAAGCGGCAAAAAAAGCATACAGGTGAAATAGAAGCCAGAAAATGGAAAATACAAATTTCTTTTCACTCAATTCCTGCAATTGTTGCTAGAGCCTCCTCCTTTGGTTCCAGTTAGCTCTACTCCCATGCTTTCTGATTTCAAGAACCAGCCAAGGTAGAAGCCTGATAAGAGCAAGATCAATGCGCTTATAATACCATATCCTCCATCTCTTCCAAAAGATTAGTGGCGTAATGACAATTCCAAACCCAAAGAAAAAACCTATCTCAGCACTTATAAAATTCCAGTGGATGTGGCTCCTAGTCCTAGAATCGAAAGAGCTCTGTTTGATAGCTGGTGGCAATTGGCATTTTCTCTTTAAAGGAGGTCCACATAATCCAGCATTGTTTTCAAAAGAAGCTTTTGCAAATGATTGAAGCAGGGTAGTTGTCGGGATCCGTCCCATTAGCTTATTGTTTGAGACATTTAGAAATGCAAGGAAATTGAGGTTTGCTAGCTGGAATGGGATCTCACCATGAAAGTTGTTACTTGAGAGGTCCAAGGACTCAAGTTGTCTCAGGTTTCCTAAAACTGATGGGATTGACCCTGTGAAAGCATTATGCGAAAGGTTAAGGACATAAAGTGCTTTGAATGATCCGATCACTTCTGGTATTGGCCCTTCAAAGTTGTTGCATGAAATGTCAATGGAGGTGAACACTGTTAGGATCTTGAGCAGCTCCAACTCTAAGCCTTTCATGGTAACTGTTATTGCATCCTTATAGTAATATGGATTGAGTTGTAGGATTTCAAACTGAAGATGTTTGAGCTTTGATTGCGCTTCATCTTCGACAGTCTGCATGGCCTTCCAGGTCAACAAGCATGTGTAATGCAGTCTACCACTAAAACTGTTGGAAGCTAAGTCAACAATCTGAAGCACAGGCCAGGGGCTTTTCTCAGGACAATGAATGTTCCCATTAAATTTATTGGCTCGTAAGACAAGGACACGCAACCTGGATATATTCTTCAAATGACATGGGAACGTATCATTGATCTGATTGTTTCCAAGGTCTAAAACCTCCAGCATTTTGCAGTTGGCCAAGGATTTTGGAACCTTTCCTTGCAGCAAATTTCGATTTAGATCTAGAGTTTGCAACCCACAGTCTTGCGGAAATGTATCAGAAATGACACCACTGAGATTGTTTCTCCTTAGATTCAGCACCCCAAGAGACATACTGAAATGTGTCAGGCATTCAGGAATTCCACCACTCAGGGAATTATTAGACAGATCAAGTACTTGAAGATATGTACTGTTGCATATTGAACTGGGGATACTCCCTTGAAAATTATTACTCGAGAGAGAGAAGAAATAAGCGAAATTTAGGTAGTCTCCAATCTCAGCTGGTAAATCAGAGCTGAAATTGTTGTTTGAGTAATCCAGATAGGTGGCATCTTGCGGAAAAAATGAAAATTTCCCTTGCAACTGGTTGCCATGAAGGTCAAGAACACTAAGAGTAGAAGTTATATTCTGCAAAGGTCCTTCGAATTCTACAAGAAAGTTCTGAGAAAGATTTAGGTGAAGAAGACCTCTGGCTTCCCAAATCCATTTGGGTATTTCCCCATGGATATTGTTGTTTGAAAGGTCTAGATAGACTAATCTATTCTGATCTTTCAAGAAATCAGGGAATTTCATTAAGTTGCAAGAAGCCAACTTCAATGTGGTAATGTTGGGGAAGGAAGGCAAGGAAGGATTAATAGCACTGGCATTAATAGACAACCGGTTATGGGAGAGATCAAGACTGGAAAGATTTCTCAGGTTCTGAATGGCACTCAGCGGTATAAAGCCACTGAAGTTGTTTGAAGCAAGCGACAGTATCTTGAGACCTTGAAGTTCAAATACAGACTCCGGAAGTGGCCCTTGTAACTTATTGCTACTAAGATCAAGAGTATCTAGTAAATAGGCCTCACCATGGAGGTCACCAAGCCGGAGGTTACCACCGAATTGATTTTGTGAAAGAAGAATTTTCTGCAGTGAAGGAATGCGGAATAAAGTTGTTGGGATTGTTCCACTGAATTTGTTGTTTCGCAAGTCAATACTTACTAGCTTAGAAAGCCCTGACCAATCGGTGGACTGAATTGTGCCATTTAACTGATTATGAGCAAGGTTTTGCTGTGTAAGATTTCTTGATGATGAGAATGATGGCATTGGACCAGAAAAATTGTTGGATGAAAAATCCAGATAGACAAGGTTTGTAAGTTTCAGGATTGAATCTGGTATTGGTCCAGTGAAATTGCAACGTGCAAGCTCTATCCTTGTCAATTGCCCAAGGTTACCAATAGATTCTGGTACTTGTCCCCCAAATTTTGTGTCACTAAGTACCAAGGTCTGAAGAGATGCATTCAGAGAAAAGTTTCGAAACGAACCTGAGAGCAATTTGTTGCTTGACAAATCAAGAATCTGTAATGTAGGTGCTTGGAGGATTTCTTCTGGGAGTCTTCCACGCAGTCTAGTAGTAGTAAGACGAAGGGAAGTTAAATTTAAGAATTCTGCAAAGAATTTTGGAAGTGGAGCAGACAAGTTGTTGTTGTCCAAGCGGATTACTGTGAGAGACCGAAGCTTCGAAAAGGAAGAATCTATAGGTCCTGAAAGATTACAGTTGGACATGCTCAACACTTCCAAACTGGTCAGTGAGGACAAGGCCTGACACCACTCATTTCCTCTTGCTGATATATATACGCCATCAAGATGGAGAAATCTTAGCCTCGGGAGATTTTGAACGAGCGTCTTTAGGTTTGGCTTCTCAAGTTTCAAGGGTCTTCCAAGTAATAAACTTACAGATAAGTCCAGAGTAACCAACCTTGTCATGCTTGAAATCTCAGCTGGAATTTGACCTTTAAATCCTGCGTTTGACAAATTAAGATAACTCAAATTTGCAAACTTGTCAAACCCTGAAGGAAAAGCTGAGCTGAGTCTGTTGTAAGACAAATCGAGTCGCTGCAGATGCTTAAGACTGAATAGACTACTTGAATTCTCAATTGCACCTGAAATTGATTGGTTGCTCAAGTTAAGGCCGATAACCCGACCACCTTCATCGCAGCTTACACCATCCCAAGAACAGCAATCCGTGGTGTGATTCCACTTCACCAGCTTTCCTAATGAAGTAGAATTGAGGCTTCTTTTCAATTTGAGCAACAACTGTCTCTGATCGCTTTGACATTGGGCAGAAACGCAAACTACATTGATGCTAATGAAAACTGCTATAAAAGAATTCAAGAAAATCCATGAAAAGAGTGAAATCCTCATTAGTAACGGTAACGAGAGTATTCCATACAACTAAGAATTATGAAGAAGATAGCAATGGGAGTAGGTTGAGGAGGGGAAAGACGGAGTGGGAGGGGCAGCGAATCGAATGGTGAGCAAAGAAAGAACCGCCAAAGGTAAACCGCGTACTTTGTGTGTTGTTGTTAGTTTTAGTTGTATGCATAAGACGCGTTTTTTGGTCGGCTTTTCTTTTCCATTATTTTGTTGGAGACTTTGACTAAAGGCTGGTAGCTTCTTTATGTTTGAAGTTTTCGCCGACTTGGAGAAATCAAACCGAACGCTTGATTGCCGTTGATGCAAAGCTCCTGGCCACCCTTAAATTAATATAATGTGACCTACTATGTTCCAATTAGGTTTTTTATTACATCTCATCAATGTAACATAATAATATAATATGAATAATATAAAATATAAAAATAATATAATTTAAAATTTTAATAATAAATTTATATTAATTTAATAAATTAAAAGATATATTTTATATTTTTATATTAATACAAATCATAACATATAATTTTTATGTAAAATATAATATAAAATACATAAATTTTAATGTTTTATAAGAATATATATTACCATTTAATTGCTATGTTGTCAAATACTGTTGCCACGAGGAAACGATTTGGCTTTTATTTTGTACTGATTGATTAGTATTCAATAATTGATGCTTCAGTCTTCGATGATTGCCAACTAATCTTAACATTTTTTTTTATTAATTCTATTTTGAAAGAGGGGAAACAAAATTTAAAGCGGATTTTGGGATAGTCAAAGTAACCAAATACTATTTTCAGGCTTCACTCATTTTCGCACATAATGGTGCGAAAAGAGCTATCCGATTGTTAAAATTTTCAGCCCTTAGATGAATTAAACATGATATGAATAATTAATACGATATAATATAAATTTTAAATGATATAAATAATAAAACATAATATGATATATTTATTACTATGTTGCATGTCACGTGATATGATAAATATATTTTAATTTATTTTAAAAATGAGTAATATGATATAATACAACACAATTAATATAATTATATATAATTAACATGATTAAATACGATTAAAATTAAAATATTTAATTAATAATTTAATATTAAATCAAAATGATAATATAATAAAATATTATACGTGTTACAAACATGTTATTTATACGTGTTTATACAATAACACGACTAAAATATGATTAATTAATTAATTAATTAATTATATCTTAAATGTATAATACATTTAAAACATGACACGTGTAACGTTATGTATTAAAATATCGATACAATTAAGATACGAAATATGATTATAAAAAATATATATACGATTTATTACGTGTTGTTTTTGTATTATGTTATCGTATCGTATCGTATCTAAAAGTATTAAGTTTAGTTGTGACCATGCCTAATTATCCTGTATATTAATTTTACTCATTTGGATGCCACATAGCACTTAATAAGTTTTTCATTTTTTTATTTGTTGTTTTTTTTTTAATTTTCTTTATCTTTTTATCTTTTTTAATTTTTAATTTTTCATATTAAATAAATATTTTTAATTTCATTTTTTAATTTTTTGTATGGAATTAATTTGATTTTTTTATTAAAAATTCTTTTAGTACTTTTTTTAATTAAATAATTTTGTAAGAAAATAATATTAATAATTTTTTTTTCGATCCTTTGCTTCTTTTAATTTTATTTTTTTTTAGTTTTGTTTTTTTAAATCTATAAATAAATTTTTAAAAAAACGAGGCTGATGTAAGTGTTCATGGGGTATCTCCATTTGGTTTTCTTTTTCTTTTTTTTTTGTCATGCCTTTTTTTTACTTATTTTAATTAGATTAATTTTGTAAAAAACAAGTTAATATAGATAAAGATGATAAAACAATGCATATCATTTGAATTTCAATTCTACTTGGTCTAATAGGTGTACTTTTCTTAAAAAAATTCAAGACCAAGTCAAGTTTTTCTTTTTGAAAATAAAGGTATGGTTAAAGGTAAATTTAAAGTGTTCTTCCTCATCCAAGATATATATAAAAATATAATTTTTATTTTATATTTTAATTAAATATTCATATATATTATATTAATAAAATTATTATTTAATATCTTAATTTAATAAAAATATTATATTTATATAAGATATAATTTATATTAAAATTTTTTTATGGATATTATACTACATTTAAATCATTTAATTAATTTTTGATTGATGGAAGTGAGATGTGGTTTATAAATTTATGTATAAGATTGGGATTAGCTATACAAAAATAATAATTTGATGTCGAGTCAAAATCAAAGTGGGTTTGAATTATTAAAAAATGGTTAAAAGTTGGGATGAGCAAAAATCAACTCGAACTTGACATGTTCTCATTCTTAAATAGAGGTATCAACATGATATTAAGAATGTTAATTTTATCCATATTCAATAGAGAATCAGATATTTTATCAAAATTGGGATGAATATTAAATTATAAGGATGGATATGTGTATAATTTTAAATTTTTATCAAGTACGAGATGAGGATGAAGATGGAGATAGGTAATACAGCATTAGTTCCATACCTTACATATATTTATATATTTTTAAGAAATAGATTTTTTATTAAATAATATAAATTATTATTTTAAATTAATTAAAATTAATATATTTTTATTTTAAAAGTTCATATTAATATATATATTTATAAAAAAATACATAAATATACAAGATAAAAATTAAAAAAAAAAACTTTGATTTTTATTTTTTTTTAAAGCTATAGGTATGGAGATTATCCATACTCATTAAATATCAACAAAGATAAAATGAGGATAAATTTAAAATACCTATTGGGTATGGATACGATGATGGATATATTATAAAATTTCAAAGAAAAGGATGAAAATATTATACTTGCCTCAAACCCTATCCATTGACATCCCAAAGTGATACTTCCATTTGGTTTTTTTTTTTTTCGCTTGTATATATATATATATATATATATAGTTTTTTTTTCATTACCTATTTTAGCATTTCTTACTTATATTTCTAAAGATAAATAATGAGCAATTAAAGTGTCAATGTAGCATCTTGATTTGGGTTTTTTTTTTTTTTTTTTACATTTTTTAATGAGACAAATTTAGTAAGAAATGAGATCAATAAAGGTTATAATGGTAAAATAACTCATCTTCAACGAATTTTGACTTGTCGACTCAATAAAATAATTTTTTTAAAATAAAATTGGTTTAGTGTAGGGTAACTTTCCCTTTTGAAAATCAAAGTTAAATCAGAGATGGATTTAGAATGTTCCATCTCATCCCCTTCACAAGTATATATAAGAATATATGTTATGTATTTAATTTTATATTTATATAAATGTATTATATTAATATAATTATTATTTAATACCTTAATTTGATAAAATATTATATTTATATATAATTAAAAACATAATTTATATTAATAATAATATTTTTCATAAATATTATATTATTAAATTTTGTTGTCAAGTTGAATTGAATGCGAGTTATACATCTATATATATATGTTGGGCAAGGATTAAATGTAAAAAAAAATAATAAGATGTTAAGTCTATAGATGGTAATGGATTTGGGTGGATTTTTGTTTGCTTCAAATCACACTTAACTTTATCCTTATAATACCCAAACCCGATCAAACAAATTTTTTTAATACCCAAACCAACCCAATATTATATAAAACTTTACTCGATCTGACATGACATAAAATTAATAAATATTTTTTAATATAAAATATTTTTTAATGTAAATATAAAAATAAATAAATAAATAAATATAAAATTAAAATTAAATAATTAATTAAAAATATTTTTTGTATATATCAAGACAGATTGACTTAAAACTTAATCTCAATATTTTGTTACTATTATTCGACCTAACTTAAAATTTAATTTTAAAAAAAATAATAATTGACTTTATGGATCGGATTGAAATTTGTCAAGGATGGATTGGGTTACCATCCCTAGTAAGTCAAAGTTGTGACAAGTATAAACTCACCTTATTTGATCCATTGCCATTGTTGACTGTATATATCCACTTGGCACCCCTATTTTGCTTTCTTTCCTTTTCTTCCTTTTTTTTTTTTTTTTTGACCTTTTTGAAGTTTGAGTTTTTAATTATTTATTTTAATATATTTGAACTATATTTGTTAAAATAAATTTGAAAGAAAAAATATGAATTTGATTTATTATATAAATTAATAGAATGAATATATATTACCTATAAATTAATTGATAAATTTTTGTTAATATTATTTTTATTAAAACATTATAAATCAAATTATAATTATTGATTTATTAAATTTATCAAGAACATTACTAACTATAAATAAAAAAAATTTAGATCCCCAATAACGTACTAGCATATTACTATTTCTATTTTAAAATAACAAAAGAACAAAATATTGAAAGGAACAACTCAACTAGAAAACAGGCAATTAAAGAAAGTTGACATTACTAGGACAATTCGACATGATCTGATCGTCACACTCTTCTGTTTGAAAGTGAGAAATGTTGAAAATTCGACTAACAATGTGAAACTATGAGGTGAGAAATATTGACTAAGTCGCAAATCTGTTGGGTTTTAATTCATCATGGATTTTGAGACCTTATTAGTGTGGAACATAGATTTTGTCCAAACTCAATTATTTAATTTTTTTGACTAAAATCGAATTTACTTCTCAAAAAATGGTCTATAATAATGCTTTCTTGGAAATAGTTTTCTTTTAATAAATTCTGTTTTTATTTGATTTGAGATCGAGAATAGTAGCACATGACTTTTCAACAGTAACATCGCATTAAAAAATGGTCTCTAATTACTGTAGAGGAAACAGCTGCCGCGAGATGAACACTAGCTCGCCATCCTAACCCCACAAAGAAACTAACGAAAATAAATGGATAAAGTTAAAAAAAAAAAAAAAAAAAGAAAAAGGTAAGCACAAAGAAGTGAGTAAACAATGTTAAAAATGGGCCAAAACATTTGTTTATCATTTAATAAGACAAGGAAACGACTAATTTGTTTGAAGATGGGTCCCCTTTTTCTTGGGTTCACATAGAGTTGAGAGATAATGGAAAATGTAAACATTTTCTGCCCGGTCAGGCCCATCGTCGGCCCCACATTTTCCAGGGTTGCGTCGGAGTTTGGACCTCCTCCAATAAATTTGAGCAAGTGTCATTGCCCGTTAGGTTTTAGATGTTACGT